ACCCCCAGCTTCACCCCTAGCCTATGTTTCACCATATTAGTAGCATTGTCAAGGTAGATAAGTTTGAAAGTTTCTCCTTTTTGAAACTTTTTCAAGTCCTCCTCAAGTGACAGTAAAGGAACAGACATGCTTACCCCTGCAAGGGGGGAGAAGAGGCAGTGAAGGAGAGCTCCGTAGCCTGTGGTGGGGTGATCATTGAATTGGATGGGGTGGGGGGAGGGGAGGGAAAGCCACTTCCATCTGGTGTCCACAGGACAGCACAGAGCAATTCACCTGCACTGCTGCCGAGAGGCTCAGGAATGGAGGGAGTTACTGGAGAAGCAGGAAGATGGGTCACCATCTGGGGTCCTACTTAAGAACTTTGAAAACTGGAGTAGTCAGTCCTTGGATTGTTCTCTGCACTCTGGAGATGGTGGCAGCTACTGTCCCTCCTCCCTTCCTCTCCACCGCCTCAGCAGCAGTGGGCCAGGCCAAGGGATCTGGAATAGGAATAGGGGTGCATAGGGTGCTGGCCATGACCACTGGGACCTCTGGTTGTCCTCTTCCCTGTTCACGATGCCAACAGCCAGGCACGTGCTGTCCCAGCAATGGATTGGAGGACCCTTTTCTGAAGAAATCAAAGAGTTTCAGAAAAAAAATATGCCCTGCCAGTGAACTTTGTGGTCCTTCATTTGAAGCTTTTTCCCACGCTAATTGAAGCTGTCGGGCTAGTAAGTCCTCTCGTCTGTCCCTCTTAAGTGGGTCAGGAGCCCAGGATCAACCAGTCATACTGAGAACATGAAAGGCAGGGCCCAGAAAAAGCTAGAAAAGGGAACCATGGAGAAAGTGAAGTTGCAGAAAGTAAACTTTTTTTTCTTTTTTAGGGTACTGGGGTTTTCAGAGCAGTGAACTCATTAGGCAAATGCTGTGCCACTTGAACCATGTCTTCAAGCCTTTTTCTCTGGTTATTTGGAGATTGGGTCTTGCTTTTTGCCTAGGCTGGCCTGAACCTCAATCCTAGTTTTAGTTTCCAGCCATAACTGGAATGATAGACACGTGCCACCATACCCAGCTTTTTCCCATTGATATGTCCAGGCTGGCTTGGAACTGTGATCCTCCCGCCATTGCACTCAGCTATTGGTTGAGATGGGATCTCTCAAACTCTGTTCCCAGGGCTGGCATGGAACCACAATCCCAACTAACTAGGATTACAGATGTTTGCCACGGGTACTCAACTATTTTTTTTTTTGGCAGGGGAGGGAGTTATCCTTAGATGGAGAAGCTATTTCATATCTAAAATAAGAATAGCATTTATGAAAAAGAAAGAATTAGAGAACAAGTAAAAGCTCCTGGAAGTTACACATTAAATACTTTAATAAAAAAACAGTACTGAGGATATATATCAATAAGTAAAGCAAAACAGATGCACTCTGGAGGCTAGCAGAATGAGAGATTTGTGTGAGTGGTGTGCCATCTACCATATGTAAGAAATCACAGCTAGGAACATTATTTAGCAACATGGAGTAAATACTAGAAGAAACAGTTAAAATTGCAACTGTTTTCCTGGAGAATGTGTCCAACATCGGGGAAGGAAAGCCAGAGAGTACGGGCTTTCATCATATCTTGTTTTACTTTAACGTGTTTAAGAATATTAGCATAATTGGAAATGAAAGGAAACAAACTGAAATGATTGGAACTGGTGCAATAATGACCAATATCATAGGTGAAATGTCTTTCTCAGAGTTGTTCCTGTCTGAAAAATGGGAGGTGGTGCTGTCTAATAGATTTTTCACTTAGAGGAATAATTACTGGGCTGGGGTGTGTGGTTCAGTGGTGGAGTGCTTGCTCAGCATGCAGGAAGCCATGGGTTCCATCCCCAGAGACATAGCACGAAAGGGTGGGCTATAGCTGAGCTAAATAGTGGAAGAGGGGAAGGTAGAAGGAAAGGGTAAAGGAGGCTGAATGTACTGGAAATATTATGTACTCAAGTACGAAAATGGAAAAATGAGGCATGTTGAAATATTATGTACTCAAGTACGAAAATGGAAAAATGAAAAATGGGGGAATGGGTAGATAAAGGACAGTGATGGAGGGGGTGATTTCAAGATGACATGTTGTAAGAAGTTTTGTAAATGTCATAATGTACCCTCATCACATAAAAATAAAAGAATCTAGAGAATAGTGAGAGACATTTCTGCGGTGCCCATTGTTGGCCTCCTTCCCAATGTCCATTCCCTTTTTCACTAACAGAACATTGATCTTGTTGAGAGTACTGATATGATGACCATCCAAAAACTCTGTTTCCCAGCCTCTCTTGTAGCTGGGGGTGGACATTTGATTAAATTCTCATCAAGAAGATGTAAGGGATTACGGGATTAGTGGTGGTTGCCTTCAAGGAAAGCTTACAAAGAAGGTTGACTTGGCATGGGATATTGGATCAACCACCTGAAATCATAAAGTGTCCAATGTGTGCTTGGGACAGAGGGGTAGAAAGACAAAACAAGTGTTTCTAATAAGTATTCTAGGATCTGTTTTAGCTCTATACTTCCTATCTCTTGGAAAAAGGTCCTAATTTAAGTCTTAGGCTGCTATTTTGGGTCTATTAGTAGGAGCTGACATAATTCCTAAGTGACAGTTACATATCACAGTTTGTGTGATTCAAGAACAAAATAAACCAATGGGGTATCTAAGTCAAAAAGTTAGAAACAGAACAACAAAATAAAATGAAAGAAGAGAAGGAAATGAAGTAGTCCTTCTTTATCTGTGGTTTCAGTATTTTTGGTCTGAAAATACTGGGTAGAGAATTCCAGAAATAACTTAAAAGTTTTAAATTATGTGCTGTTCTGAGAAGCACAATGAAATCTCATACCATCCTGTCCAAGATATAAATCTTGTCTTTGTGCAATGTATCCATGCTGTGTAGGCTGCCCACCCCATTAGTCACTTAGTAGCTATCTAGGTTATTACATTGGTTATTGTGTTGCAGTGCTTGTGTTTTACTTAATAATGACCCAAAGTGGGAGAGCAGTGATGCTGTCAACCTGGATGTGCAAAGAGAATGCTTTAAGTAGAAAGATGAAAGCACAGTTAGATATGTTGAGAGAGACAGAGAGAGAGAGACCACTTGCACATAACTTTTATTATAGTATAGTTATTCTTCTTATTAATCTCTTACTGCGCATGATTTGTAAATGAAACTTTCTCGTAGGTGTACAGGTGTGAGGGAAAACATCGTGCACATCTGTATGTATACTACATAAGAAGTTTGGTACTATCCACAGTTTTGGCATCCCCTGGGAACATACCCTCTGTGTATGAGATAGGACTACTGGAATTAAAATCAAACTAGAATTAAAATAAAAAACTGAAAAGATAAGTGATAAATTTAAGAGCTAATCCTGTGGAGAAATAGCAATTAAAAATGGCCCCATACGTTCTGCTAGCACAAGCTACATGTAGAAGAAAGCACAGATACAGTTAGATCTAGACAGAGAGGAGATGAAATGACTTGCACTTTGCAAAACTCTACAGATAAATCCGAAATTGTGGATTTATAAAAAATGATTTTCTTGGAAAATCTGCTATCAGAATGATTCTAGAACAGAAAGAAAACTTAAAAGTCCCCTAAAAGTGACAGAAGTGACACAGCTGTCATCTGTGAGGAGCCGAGGCTGCACTTCCAGGGTTTCTTTTGCTGCTGAGGTTTCTCAGGGTGGTAGGAGCTAGTTTCTGCTGAGAGGAACTTGGAGTGTGGGACAGAGTGGCTGTCCTGCCTGGTGTCAGGTCTGTAGGCATCTGGGAAGGGTGGCCACACACTGGAAAGGTGAAGGCCACGATTCGTAGCATCAGAATCCATCACAAAATAAAAAAAAAAGCCCCAGTCTTCATTTTTTCTTTTTTGATTAACATTTTTTAGATGAATATTGCTACTTGAACTTTTTTGGTTAAAAAATAAAGATTGAGAAAATTTAAACCATTTACTCTCATGGTTAATTTCATAACCGACTGATTCCTTAGAGTAAAAATATTTAAAAATAGTCTTATTATATTTTTGAATTAGTATACATTAATAATATGAGGGGCTTTCATTGTGATATTCTTTATATGGGGTACTTTGAACAAGTTTACCCCCTCTAAAATATATAGAAATACATACAACTACTGTGTATTTTATATAGTACATATATAAAATATATATGTAAATATGTATAAATGTAAATATATATATGTAAATATATATATTATCATTTTTTTGTGTGTGGTGGTATTGGGGTTTGAATTCAAGGCCTCACACTTGCTATGCAGGCGCTCTACCACTTGAGCCACTTCACCAGCTGTGTTTTGTGTTGGGAATTTTTAAGAAAGGGTCTCATGAGCTATTTGCTTAGGCTGGCTTTGAACTGTGATCCTCCTGATCTCTGCCGCTGGAGTAGCTAGGATTACAGGCGTGAGCCACTGGCACCTGGCTAAAAATATTTTAAACATTGCATTCATACCGTGTTAAAGAATTCAGAGCCAGATTGTGCATAAGAAAGGTTGGTAGTGTTTTGAGAGGAAAATTAACTGTGGAAGAAAACAGAAAAAATGGAGGCATCAGAACTCCCGAGCTCTTTGTTATTTGCATGGAAAAGTACCTTGCTCACAAATGTTGGTACTAGGACAGACTACTAGTTAAAATAAATAGCACAAACTGCAAGAAGACCAGGTAAGGGAAAAGCAGCCAGAATAGCCGGTGAGAGAGCTATGCCAAAGGCATCGGGTCATGACGCCAGTGGCTACCCTCGGGCCAGGACTCCAGCCCAGTGTTGACAGGCGCACCCACCACGTGGGCCCAAGGGCATCCAGTAAGGCGTGTTTGGACAGGTCATGGTCAGGGGAGTGTAGCGCTCAGCCTGTGGTTCTGAAGTGCCTTTGTTGTTTCCTTTGAACTTTGCTATTTTCCCCTCATGACCATCCCAATCTTCACTTAACCAGATGTAATTCTAACTTAGTGCTCCTTCTCCTCTATCCTTCCCTGGTAGGTGGGACTGTGAACCATGGAGTTGTATTTCGGTGAATACCAACACGTGCAGCAGGAGTACGGTGTCCACTTGAGACTCGCCAGTGATGAGACCAAAAAGCCAAGGAACTCTCAGCACTTGAAGACAGGCTCCTATGGGGTCAGTATTAGGGTCCAGGGTATTGATGGTCACCCCTACATCGTCCTGAATAACACGGAGCAGTGTCTGGCAGGGACATCTTTTCCTGAAAATGGGCCATCATTGTCACCACCAAGGATAAATAACTTGCCTCGCCATGCCACCAATGGCTCTGTGTTGAAGGAGAACAGCACAGAAGAATTGCAGCTTCCAGAAAACCCATATGCCCAACCTAGCACAATCAGAAACCTAAAACAGTCCTGTCTCCACGAAGGCAAGAATGGCATTCTAGAACGCAAAGGCAGCCCAATGAAGCCAAACCACGTGCTCAACTTTCAGAAGCATCCAGAGATTTTGCAGCCCTATGACCCTGAAAAGAATGACTTGCACTTGAAAAGCCACCAACCCCCTGAGAGTAATTGGCTGAAAAATGTAACTGAAGAAGGAACCAATGATAAGAAACCTTGGACTTGCTTTCCCCAGCCTGGCCATCCCCAATCTACCAGCCCTCCCTTGCAGGACCTGGCCAAATCGAGTGTGACAGCCATTCGTCTCTGCAGCTCTGTGGTCATAGAAGACCCCAGAAAGCAGACTTCGGTATGTGTGAATGTTCAGAGCTGCACCAAAGAGGGGGTGGGAGAGGAGGCCCTTTCTCCCAGCGCGAGGTCTCTAAGTACCCATAGCCCACACGCCCACCCTGACACCAAAAAAACCAGGCCAGATGTGCTTCCCTTCCGGCGACAAGATTCAGCAGGACCTATCCTGGATGGAGCTCGGTCACGAAGGTCCTCCTCCTCGTCTACGACTCCCACGTCGGCCAATTCTTTGTATAGGTTTTTACTTGACGATCAGGAATGTGCCATCCATGCTGACAACGTCAATCGTCACGAAAATAGAAGGTATATCCCCTTCTTGCCGGGAACTGGGCGGGACATTGATACAGGCTCAATTCCTGGTGTGGATCAGTTAATTGAGAAATTTGATCAAAAGCCTGGGCTTCAGAGAAGAGGACGGTCTGGGAAGAGAAACGGAATTAATCCAGAAGACAGGAAAAGATCCCGAAGTGTCGATAGTGCCTTTCCTTTTGGTCTTCAGGGGAACCCAGAGTACCTGACTGAATTTAGCAGGAACTTGGGCAAGTCCAGTGAACACCTCCTCCGACCATCCCAGGTGTGCCCACAGAGGCCACTGTCCCAGGAACACCGTGGGAAACAAAGCATGAGCCGCATCTTTGCAAAACTGCAGAGAGACCCACATGGTGCTCAGGCTGCCCACCCCAGACCTCCCCAGCAGCCCAAAGATGGGAAAATTCTAGGAAACAAAGGCAATCAGGAAAGCGTGGAGATTCGTGCAGCCTCCCTTCCAGCACAGAGTAAAAAGGAGGAAGAAATCAAAACGGCCACAGCTACCTTGATGTTACAGAATCGGGCAGCGGCCATCTCTCTGGATTCTGGTGCCAAGAAAATTTCTGTGAAGACATTTCCTTCCAACTCAAATACCCAGGTAATACCAGTGCGATTTCCGTGTGTTCTCTTTCTAAATGAGCTAAATGATCTATGGAGTTCAGCTCCTCAATCTTTATCAATTTTTTTTTTCTTGCAGTACGGGGGTTTGAACGCAGGGCCTCGATCTTGTTAAATTAGGTACTCTACCACTTGAGTTATGCCCCCAGGCCTTTTACTTTTGTTATTTTTCAGATAGGGTCTAATGCTTTTTGCCTGAGGTTGGCCTCAGACCAAAACTCTACCTAAATCTCCTGTGTAGCTGGGGTGATAGCTATGTAGCACCATGCCCAGAGGGGAGGTTAGGTCTTGCTAGCTTTTTGCCTGTGTTGGCCTCCAACTGAGATCCTCCTGATCTCTGTCTCCCAAGTAGCTGGCATAAGCCATCATGCTACTCCCAGATCCTTACTTTAGAATCAGTAATATGTACATCTCATTTTTTTCTAGAATCAGATTATGTCCTTCTGCATTTTTCTATGCAATTTTCAGTACTGAAAACAACCACTGATTTCCATTGTGAGTCTTCTGTAAAATAACTTGTCAAACACTATTGAAGCCCAATTTCTCTGTATGAGTCTGAAACAGAGGTTCAGCAGTTAGGTTTATGGAAATATATTTTTAATCATGACATTGAGTGACTAGGTTAATTTCTGGTGTTGAGAAATTAGGCTAATTCTAATTTAGGTCAGTTGCAAAGTGATGAACTCTAAGTGGTACATTCAGTGTTTTGGTAGTAACAATAAAAAATGACGTCGATGAAAATGATAATAGGTTGGTAAGTGCCAGGAACTGTTTGTTATGTATTATGGTATTGCACCAGCCGTGTAAAGCTAGTGCTATTAGGCTTAATTTACAGGTGAGAAAATTTGAGAGGTGTGGAGAAGTTAAGTCACTTGCCCGGGGTTACAGAGCTAATCCGTTTTGGTGATGATGCTTACCAAAGATTCCTTTTTGGAAGTAGTACTGGGTTGGAAGCCTCGGAGTGTTGCCATCTTACTGGCAATGTCTAATAACAGATATTATTATGCTCAGGCTACACCGGATCTCTTAAAGGGCCAGCAAGAGATCAGTCAACAAACCAATGAGGAGACAGCCAGACAGATACTTTTCAATTATCTCAAAGAAGGGTGAGTGATCTCTTTAAAGACCACAGTATTGTCATTTCTTTCACTCTTTCTCTTTGTGCCACTTTCTTTTCTCTGTCTCTCTCTCATTCTTTGAGGTTCTAGGGTTTGAATTCTGGGCCTTTAACTTTCTAGGCCGGTGCTCTACTATGTGAGCCACTTCCCCCTCCCCCCCTACAAGACTTTTTGTTTTTATTTTTCAGATAGTGTCTCATATTTTTGCCCAGATGGGGGCCTCTGGCTGTGATCCTCCTACATAGGCCTCCTGTGTAGCTGGGACCATAGATGCATGCCACCACATCTGGTTTGTTTGTTGAGATGAGATCTCACTAAATTTTTTCCTAGGCTGGCCTTGAACTGAGATTCTATCTCTGCCTCCCAAGTAGCTGGAATTAGAGGCATGCACTATTATGCCTGACAGAATTGTCATTTCTGGTGGGACTCTCTTTTCCCTTTCTGAGGCTTTGTGTTTGGCCCTTCCTGCTTGCCATGTGCTAGCAATTTGAGGGAAAGTCTCAACAGCTGGAGTTTTCAAACCAACATAAATATTCTTAGATGGGTTGGTTAGGTACTTGGGTTGGAAGTGTAGGGAAGAACATCATACTTTAAAAACGAATTTGTTGCCAGGTGCTGGTGACTCATGCCTATAATTCTATCAATTTGGAAGACTGAGATTGGGAGAATTAAAGTTTGAGGCAAGGCCAGACTTCCATCTCCAAAAGAACCAGAGCAAAATGGACTGGAGGCGTGGCTCAAGTAGTAGAGTGCCTTTTTTGCGAGTGCAAAGCCCTGAATTCAAACCCCAATCCCACCAAAAAAACCACAAAAACCCAAAAACCGAGTTTGTTTTAAAAATGACCTTCACTGCTTCAAAAACAAATTCAAGGATAGGAGCACATCTGCTGGTCAGTTTTGAGTGAGTCTACCACTCTTTTGAGTTCTGCCAGGCTCACAGTAACCCTCAATTTTCCCTTTCTGGAAGTTGCAGATATGAATAGCTTTACCTTTCCTGAGAGTCAAGAGTGACCACCAGCCAGGAGCCCCTGCTTCCAGATTTTTTTTTTTAAACAGATGAGTCATTTGGAATTAGTGTTTTCTCTGCTTATCTTGGAGGTTGAGTTTTGGTGGCCTGGTCTCCAGTCCTTATTTTGATACCAATTGTACTGGAATTCCAGGCCAGGGATTTGAAGTTTCTGTTTCCAATCTCTCATCAGATGATTAAGAAGAGAAAAAAACTCGATAGTCTGACATGACTGGAAGTCAGCCACTCGGCTAATATGCCTTGGTTTCAAAATACTTGATAGTTTTGTATTCCACCTCCCAATTATCCCCAGCATTGGAAGGCCAACAAAATAGTCACGCCAAAATATAACATGGAGTCTCTCAACGCAAAATCAACTATAGAGATTCTTGTAGTTGTCACTGGTTATTAGTATTTCCCTGTGAAGTGTTTTACTGTGTTAAGATTAAGGCAAAAGAATTTTGATTTTTCAGATTCTTTAAATTCTTTGTGTGTGTGCTTGCTTGATTTATTGAGACACTGGTGAGACACACTTGAATGAAAGGTTCCTGTTGGAGGGATTTTATTTGAAATCATTTAATTGCTGGGGGTGTGGTGGAAGTTAATAAAACATGATCTGATTGTTACTTGTGGAAGTCAAGACAGAGGCTGTGGTGTGGACAGTCTTGGCATTGGGGTTTTATTTTTTTAAACATAGGCTAAACAAGTTGAAATCACAGATCATTCTCAGTGTAAGATTTAAAAGTGCAGTGTGTATGTGAGAGAGACAGATGCACATACACACACATATCCACATACATATATGGAAACACACACAAAAAGAAAAGGAGAATTCCTTTTGGAACGAATATGAGTCAGTTGAATCTAACACCAAGTCACTGCTTATTTAGGATGTGCTTATGTCTCTTTCATGCATTTAAAAATTAAACCAAATGTATGAAATTAAGTGTAGCATTTGACGATTATTCTTGGTGGTGCTGGGAGTTGAACCTGGGCATTGTTCAAGTTGATCACACGCCCTGCCACTGAGCCACATTCCCTGCCCCATCTTACCACCATCCACCCTACTTTTCCCACTCTGATTTTTGTCTGCAGCCCTAATTTATTAATTCATGACTCTTGATTTACCTTAAAGGGCTCGTTGGACGTGTGTCATGGCATATAAAATACCGACACCCATGGTTGTGTCCCTTATTGTTTTCTTTGCCATCTCTTCTGCAGCAGCACTGACAACGAGGAATCTACTAAGAGGAAAGTCAACCTGGTTTTCGAGAAAATTCAGACTTTAAAGTCTCGAGCAACGGGAAGTGCGCAAGGAAATAATCAAGTGAGTTGAGGTTTCGTATTTTAGAGTCCTCTCCTGAGGACTGTGGTGAGCACTTCAGCCTGGACACTTGCTGACAGCAGGAAGCGGGAAGTTTCTCTGAACCTCAGGTGGAGGGCCTGGTGCTAAGTTCAGGTTGAGTATCCTGAAATCCGAAATGCTCTAAAATTCAAAACTTTTTGAGAGCTGACATGACACTAAGTAGAAATACCATGCCTGACCCCACTGGCTGTCACAGTCAAAATACAGGCGCAAAACACACTTTGTTTCATGCACAAAGTTATTAAAACCACTGTGTAAAATTCCTTACAGGCTGTGTGTATCAGGTATATATGCAGCATCAATGAATTTCATCCTTTGACTTGGGCCCCCAAAATCTTTTATTATGTATATGTAAATATTCTAAAATTAAAAAGTCTCAACTCTTACACAGTATTTTGGATAAGCAGTACTGCACTTGGGTTTCCAGTCTACACTTTAACTTGTTTTCAGAAAGACTTTAAGAGCTTTTATTAAAAATAGATGAAATTGCTGGGTGCCAGTGGCTCATGCCTGTATTCCTAGCTACTCAGAGGCAGAGATCAGGAGATCATGGTTCAAAGCCAGCCTGGGCAAATAGTTTGAGAGACCTTATCTTGAAAAAACCCATCGCAAAAAAAGGGGTGGTGGAGTGGCTAAAGGTGTGGGTCCTGAGTTCAAACCAAAGTGCTGCAAAAAAAAAAAAAAGGTGAAATATAACAGGATGACATAAGTAAGTGGCAAGGGAAAAGAACAGGAAGAAGCTGGGTGCCGGTGCCTCATCCCTTAATTCTAGCTAGACCACCTTGGGTAAATAGTTTGAGAGACCCCATCTTTTAAATAACTAAAGCAAATGGACTGGAAGTGTGACTCAAGCAGTAGAGCTTCTGCTTTGCAAGTGCAAAGACCTGTGTCCCAAAAAAGAAGGAGGAAATGACATGGTGGGTGAAGGCCTGTAACATTGTCATAGGTAAACTGGGAAGGGAAGTGTGACGGGTTTGGGATTAAACCTGGAATGTCAGGCATGAAGGAGAATAAGGACTAGAGATTAGTCATCAGAGTTGGGAAGGAGTAATGTCAAATTATTTAAAAAAATACTGCCTGTTTCCCTGTACAAGTTGTGACTTAGAGATTCTTTTAGTTAAGGAGGAGTCAACTCGTGTTTGATAAATGTGTAGTTTATCAAAGGAAGCAGCACTTAGAGAGGATGTCTGAAAGCTTGCCTCTCAAATCCCATGCCACCTGGTAGGACTCATTGGTGGCTTGGGCATCTCCCCTGCCCATGGCGAGCATTCCATTGGGGAACTTCAAACCTTACCTCTTGCTTGTATGCAGCTTTCAAGAGCTCTGCATAGTTCGATCCTTTTTAATAAATTATCACTGTGACTCTTGATGTTAATATTGACACTGTGGGTTATAGGTTCTGGTTAGCTGCAACTGAGGAAGTCAGGGCAGCCCTTCCAGAGACAATGACTCTAATGATGTCCTAAAAGATAACACAATTCTCTGTAGGAAGAAGGGAAGGTGGGGTACTCTCAGTTGAATGAGTGACAGGGACAAACAGAAAGAGGCATGGGTTTGCCCTATTGAGGGACCTGGAACATACAGCCAGCCTGTGGAGGGAGAAAGAGCCAGAGAAAGCTTCCATACCAGGCTGAAGGGCGTGGGCCGTCATGCTGGGTTTTAAACAGGCATGAACGCAGCTGTATCTGTAAAAGTTGGTTCCTGCCAGGTGCCAGGGCTTGTGCCTGTAATCCTTAGCTACTCAGGAGGCAGAGATCAGGAGGATTGCTGTTCAAAGCCAGCTCCAGGCAAATAGTTTGAAAAACACCATTACAAAATAGGGCTGGTGGAGTGGCTCAAGTGTTAAGAATGCCTTCCTTGCAAGTGTGGGGCCCTGAGTTCAAATCCCAGTGCAGCCAAAAAAAAGAAAAGTCGGTTCCTTTTGTAGTTCTACGAGAGACATAAGATTAGAGGGAGTTAAGAAGCTGCTGCTGAGTCCAGTAAGAGATGATGGGAAGGTGAAATGAAGCTGACAGATTCCCGGCTCTGATCACAGGCCTGGACTTCAATTGTTCACATTTTTCTCCTCCCCTCCTCTCCTTCTTCTGTTCTGAATGTGATTATTTGCTGGCAAAGCCTCTGGAGCTTTATCTTTTAGGTGTTGATTTAGTGATTCTGTAGGAGAGAATGTAAGAAGTCTCTTCATTATGGACTGAGACCATATTGGTAAATGGCAAAGCAGATAGTACTTTAAAAAAAAATTTTCTTTGTGGGGGGGCGGTGGAGGGGAGCAGGGAGGTGGCACAGACAATGTATACACATGTAAGTAAATGTTAAAATATAATAAAAAGATAAAAGAAAAAAATATAATTAAAAAAGAAATCCTCCGCTGTGTTGGAGTTAGATTTTTAGAATCTAACAGTAAGAGAACTGGAAGTGCTGTGTATTTGCTGTTAGATTCTAGTCCCCTTCCCGAGAGTCAGTGGGAGAACCTCATTCTTACTTCATCACCCACAACTCAGACCTGGATTCAGTGACACGGGAGCCAAGACTGCTTTCTTAGCTTTGATTTCTACTTTTATCTCCTCCGCTCACCTTTTTGTAGTTTTTTTAAAACTGGTTTACTGTAGGACTTTAGCCACATTTTTTTGGCAAGCGTCATCCTGTTATTATTTCCAAGGAAGAAAAATAAGATCTACTAATATTCATTCTCAGATCAGTGTACCATACTGTGCATTCTTGGTGGATGTTTCCAGTATTTGGCTATTGGAAATACAGCTACTTATTTTCTATTGGAAAATGCTGTCTCTGCTGTCTCTCTAACCAGGTCTCTCTTCACTGTGGAAATGTAACATCTTAAAAGAAGAAGGTCAATTTAGTCAACATGCATTTATTTACTACTTGCTTATAAGCATATGCAGAGAGTGAGGGATACAAATTCCTCTACAGCTTAGAGCAGCAATCCCTAGGGTATTGAGAGTTCTGGAGCAAAGGATCTAGGATCCCAGACACGGGCTTTGGGTATAATTTCATGTAATGACTATGTCTTCAACAAGTATTTTTCATATTGTGCGTTCAGTAGCTTGCACAAACCTTAACTGTATAGTTCACTAAATTTTTAACATAGGTTTGCATCCATGCAAACACCATTCAGATCAAGAGACTGTTGCCCTCACCAGGTTCCTGTATTCCTTTCCAGTCATTACACCCCCTCTCTTAGGTAGCAATCTTACACGGACTTCTGATGTTTTATTGTCTAGATTACGTTTACCATTCTTAAATTTTATCTGAATAAAATTTACTGCATGTACTCTTACGTCTAACTTTATTTCCTCAACATCACTGACAAATACTACATTTATCAGTAACTTTTTGTTTTATGGGACTAGAGATTAAACCAAGGGCCTGACACATGCTAGGCAAGCACTGCACCACTTGAGCTCTGTCCTCTTGCCTCTGCCTCACCAGTACATGGATCATTACACCTAGCTTATCAGGCAGCTATCTTACTGACAGGTAATTCCCATTTACAATACTGTAAATTCTTAGTGGACATTTCCAGTGTTTGGCTATTGGGAATAAAACTGCTATGAACATTACAGTACTTTTTTTTTTTAAAGATGTTTATTGATTCTTCTTGAGTACATATCTAGGAGTAAAATTGGTGGGTCATAATGTAGGTATAAATTTAACTCTTAAGTACTGCCAAATGATTTTAGAAAGTGACTGAAAGAATTTGCACTCCCACCAGCAGTGCACACTAACTAGTTCATTGTTGAAATTCTTTCTAACCAGAGACTTTCTCTTCTATTCTGCCGGTTCTACTTGTCTCTCCTGCACTTATGCCATACCGATTTAATTACTATAACTTTAGAGTAAGCCCTGAAATCTAGTAACTTCTGTCTCCAATTTTGTTCTTCTACTTTAAAGAAAAAAAAAAAAGGAAAGAAAACGTCCAGGAATTTTGATTGGGATTACACTGGGTGTACAGATAAACTTGGTGGGGCTGACATTTGACATTCATGGTATTCTTGTTCACGAATGTGATCGCTCAGCTAATTTATTAATGTCTTCAACTATTTTGAGCAATGTTTTGTTAGTTTTATGGTCTTTAAGGTCTCTTTCCAGTATTGTTGATTTGTTTTTTTCTACTGTGGTTTTTGCTTTTTCTGTTTAGTTTCTAAGTGGAACTAAACAGTTCAATTTAGGACTGTTTTTCCCAACCAGAACTCTTCTGTTATATTCCATGTGCATTCACTTTCTGCTGTTGTTTGAGAATATTTTTTGTTCACTCTCATTTTTGAGGAACTCTAGTTTGGCACCTATTGTTTTTTGTCATAACTTTAAAGATTTTCATATGCTTGTTTTTTGACCCACATGGGAAGCACAGCATCATTCTTAATGGTGTTCTCTTGAAAATAGTGTGTCATTTCTCTGTGACTGCTTCGAAGTCACAGAAGTTTTGAGTAGAATATGGCTAAGAATGTGTTTTTTTTCTTGAATTTATCCCATTTGGGGTTTATTGCATTCTTTTTTTTTTTTTTTTTTTTTTTGGTGGTGGTGCTGGGGTTTGAACTAAGGCCTCATGCTTGCTAGTCAGGCACTCTTACCACCTGTTTACTGCATTCTTGAATTGATATCTGCTGGTATTCATCAGACTTGAAAAATTCTTGTCCATTTTTTTTCAAACATTGCCTTCACATTCTCTCTCTCTTAGCTGTTCTCAGATTCCAATTACACGTATTTTAGAATTTTTGATAGCATTCCTCATATCAGTACATCTCTACTCTCTCTCTCTCTCTCTCTCTCTCTCTCTCTCTCTGTTTCCTTTTGGCATATCAGACACTCTGGATATTTTCTATTGAGCTTTCAAATTCATTAATCTTGATCGCTGGCTATGTCATTCTGCTTCAAAGCTATTTTTTTAAGATGTCCTTAAAAGAAACTTCTTCACCCTTCCTTAAGGATAATTCTTTTAAGAACTATCTAAGGAGTTCTTAAATTTCAGACATTATATTGCCATTCTAGAATATCCACTTGATTAAATTTAAAGATTCTGGCTGTAGAAAACCATCATTTTACTAATTTAATTTATGATATCCTCTATATAAAAAAATCATTTATAGTTATTTTGAAGTCTTTATCTGGGTCATCTCCACTTCTATTGATTATTTTATCACTTGGTTATCGGCCAGTTTTTCCTGCTTCTTTGTATGTCTAGGATTTTAAAAAAATTGTATGCTAGGATGACAAATTGCAGATGTTCTCAGTTGTGTTATCTACCTGTATGCTGAGTATTCTCATCACAGTCAGTTACAAACTGTTTACAGGTCACCTGTCTCTGTATGCCTGGTTATTTTAGCATTATTAGGGTGGCACTAGTTTACATTTTGCCTTTACCTCTATGGCATGACCACGTTGCTTTCTTGAATCTCATATGACTGTCAGTATGTCCATAAAGGTTTCTGTATTTGGCAGAGTTCAAACTCTTGTGTTTTCCCCAGCTGTGCAGCCTGTGAAGTCTCTGTTGGGTCTTTTTTGCTTGTTTGGTTTTGAGGTGCTGGAGAGTGAACACTGGGCTTCACACATGCTGAGCAATGCTTTTTCCACTGAGCTGCATCCTTGCCTAGTAAACTTTATTTTTTTAGAGCAGAATTATGTGGAATGTACAGATTTCACTGTACTGTAGGTTTGCTGTAATCAATCTACCTACACTGACAGAGAATTATCAAAGTCCATAGTTTACTATGTTAGGGTTCATTTTTGTCATTGTGTATTGTATTGTTTTTTAGTCTTTTTAATGAGCACGTATTTATTGTACAAGGGGTTTCTTTATGTTTCCATAGATGCATGTAATGTACCTTGGTCAAATTCACCCCTCTGTTACTTTCTTATTCCTTCTTTTTGGAAACAATTTTTAATGGGTTTCATTATTCTAATTTCACACATGTGTATCTGTTCTATTGGTTTTAAAAAATTAATAATGATGTGTTTTCACCATGATAGTATCACACAGTTCTGAGCATCCTCTGTGTTCTGCATGTTTGTCCTTCCATCTCTCCTAACAATCAGTAATCTTTTTACTGTCTTTGTAGTCTTGTCTTTTCCAGAAAGACGTATGGGTAAAGTCATGTGGTATGTAGACTTTTCATACTGTTTTTTTCCATTTAGTAATAGGCATTTAACTTTTTGCCTTGTCTTTGATAAAGACAATTTTTACCTAATTTCTTTTTAGTGTTAATATTTCAGTCTTGTATGCACCACAGTTAATCCAGTCACCTACTAAGGACATCATGGTTGCTTCCAAATGTTATCAGTTATGCACAGGGTTGCTATAAATACCTGTGTATAGGTCTTTATGTCGATGTAAGTTTCCCATTTGTTTCGATAAATACCAAGGAGTACAGCCACTGAATCATTTACTAAGAGTATGTTTAGTTTTATAAGAAACTCCCAACTGTCTTCTAAAGTAGCTGTACCACTTTGCCTTCCCACCAGCAATGAATGAGAGTCCTCATTGTCACACATTCTTGCCAGCATTTTGAATTTTGACCATTGTAATAGGTGCTAACTGGAATCTTGTTCTAATTTGCATTTCCTAATGTCTTCTTTACTGTGCTGTGGTTTGGAAAAGCAGTCAGGGGAAGTCCAGGGTAAATAGGGTGACCTCATGTATTCCATTTTTTAAGGATTATAGTCCTGTGTTGGGTGGTTTTCCATGCCCATTAAATAATTTACATTTTGTCTAGCTCCCTTGTCTTTGCTGGGAGAATAAATCTGGTATTAGCTACTCTATTATCTTTAGAAATAGGATTCCAATGATCACTTATTGAGATTTTATTTTATTGTTTTGAACTCAGGGCCTCATGCTTGCTAGGCAGGTGCTCTACAACTTGAGCCACTCTGCCAGTCCTATTTTGTGATGGGGTTTTTCGAGATAAGGTCTCGAGAATTATTTGCCTGGTGCTGGCTTTGAACCGTGATCCTTCTGATCTCTGCCTCCTGAGTAGCTAGGATTACTACTAGCCACCAGTGCCCAGCTTGTTGAGATTTTATTAAATGTAGGAGGAGTGTTGGATTTTGTAGAGACATAAAGCATGATCTCTGTCTTCCCCAGTTGATAATCTCCTGAGATAGAACTCTCAAAGCATTCATAAGAGACATTGACACCAAACTGTGTTCTGCCATTAAAGTAGAAAAAGTGAAATTTTTTTCTCAATTTCTATATGAAAAGGTTTTTTGCTGCTTTTTCTTCACCAATGATTTCTGTGGACTGGTATCTAGAATTGACTGTGGAAAAGCTTTACTCGTCCTAAATTGAGTACCTTAGGATTTGATGTTGTTGTTCAGAATACTTTAAGGATAACCAACAAATAGATCACCTGCGTAAGTCTTAGTCATATTGGACCATGTTGATGACGTAATTTCTGTGTCTATGGCAAATGATGTAAAATAAAGTTCGCTGGACTCTTAACATGATTAACTCCTCCAGTGAAGTCAGAAGGTTTTGTAGGGGTTGACATTTGAACCGAGTCTTACTATGGTTAGTGTCATGCCTCATCTATTACTGCTCTGACTGTATTTTGGGGGAGAATAATTAAAATAAAGCATTCCAAACATTTCAATGAGGATATCTTTTTAATTAATTGTAGGCTTCTAACACCTCACCTGAAATCAAAGATCTCTTGGAACAGAAAAAAAAGTTGACCTTAGAGGTGGCTGAACTTCAGAGACAGCTTCAGCTAGAAGTCAAGGTATCTGGTTTTTCCTTTTCTTTTTTTCTTTTCTGGCTTGGTAAAAGAATCTTTTGATAGCAGGGTATTTTAAGCACATTGGACTCCCCAGGTGAAGTGAAACCTGACCCCCCCCTTCCAAAAGGAAAACATTCCTTTCACCATTGAGTAAATTCCTGTGTGTTTGGCTGCTGCTACCCAAATAATTTCTTTTTTTTTTTTTGGTGGGAGGGGCAGAGTAAATGTTTGAGCTCAGGACATCGTGCTTGCCAGGCAGGTTCTCTGCCACTTTAGTTATTTTTCAAATAGTGGCTTGCTTTTTGCCTGGACTGGCTTGGACCATCATTCTCCTGTTTATACTTGTTATATAGCTGGGATGGCAGGTGCTCATCACTGTACTCAGCTTGTTTGTTGAGATGGAGTCTCTCAACCTTTTTGCCTGTACTGGCCTAGAACTTTGATCTTCCTGATCTCTGCCTCTCAAGTAGCTGGAATTATAGACATGAGATATCATGCCCAGCTCACATATTTAAATTTTTATTTATTTATGGCAGGTCTGGGGTTTGAACTCAGGGCCTCACACTTGTTATGTAGGTACTCTACCACTTGAGCCACTCCACCAGCCCATCAAATAATTTTTTTTAAAGAAACCAAAGCATACAGAGACTGTTCACTTTGACAGAGTAAAAGAAACACTGTTGGCTGCAGGCAGGCCAGTAGGAAGCTAAACGCACAGTTAGTACCTAAAGCACCTTAACTAAAAAGAAGTAGCAGAATGAGGCTGCATTTGTGTTTTTCTTTTACAAGTCTCACAGTTCATTAAATATAAATGTTCTTTCTAGTAGTTATAAACTTGTATGCCTTAATTATGTAGCTTGATTAAGTTGTTTAATAAGCACAGGCAGAGATCATCCGTTAGAGTTTAGCAGGCAGTTTCTGTGCGATGGAGATAGTTTAAATTCCCACTGATCCATGTTAGAATCAACAGAACATGAAGGAAGAGAGGGAGAGGATGCGAGCCAACTTGGAAGAGCTGCAAGGCCAGCACGACAGCCAGATGGAGGAGAACAGCAGGCTGCAGCGACGGCTGGATGACAGTGAAGGAGAGCTGAGGAAGAACCTGGAGGAGTGAGTGCCAGGCTGGGCCTCTGCCCTCCTGGGTCCTTGTGTCACATGTAGCCTGAACCCTGTCGTTCTCTTAACACAACCCAGCCCTCCAAATATTTACTGAGGCTGCTTGCCCTTCCTTCTTCTTATCCTTGTAAAATTGTGAGCCTGGCGACATGTGCAGATCAGAAAGAGGGGAGGCTAATAATTATTAAAATTTCTTGTCCACCTTGAAATGTGTCTTGTGGGGTTTCAGCCCTTAAAGTGGATCTCTGAGCAGGTAGGTGAGAAGTGAGGAATACTGAGGTGATATCTAAAGATGGAGATTTCAAGGTGTCTGAGGCCAGCCTCCATCATCTCCTAGCTTGTGAATTTTTTCCTGGGTGGGGCTTGTCTCTGTGATCAGTAGTCAAACCTCTTCTCAGTCTACAGAGGAAAGTCAAGTCAAAGGTGGCCCTGCCTGCCATTGTAGTATAGGAAAACCTGGAAAGGATCCAAGCGTAACGTTCATAAGTGCACGGTGTTCCGAAGGCCCATGGACAGAACCCGAAGTGAGATGTTGGGCTGGCGTGAAAATGTGGCTGGGAAAGTTGGGAAAATTGGGGCATTATACAATAAAGGCATTTGGTCCTGTGATTTCATTTTTTAAAAATTAATGAATTTGCAGTGCTGGGATGTCCTTGTGATTTTTGATGGTGGAGTTTTTGCTTTTAAAACGTTCATAGGGGTTAATTTCAGAAAATGTTAGTAAGAGATAAAAATAATCAGAAAGTTGGGGGTATGGAAAGAACTTCCAAACTTAAAAGCAAAGCCACTATGGGTTTGGTTTTGAGTAGAGGCTGGCAAGCATTTCCTTGCTAGGTAATGATTATTTTAGAGTCTTGGGGGGGTCATGTGGTGGTTCTTGCAGTCACTGCCTGTGTTATTTCATTGTGAGCATGGCCACAAACCATGCAAAGATGAGTACTCATGGCTGTGTTCAGCAACAGTTTCTTTACAAAAGTGAGCAGCAGGGGCTCAATCGACACAGAGACCATAATTTGCTGATTCTCCTGAGTAGGGTGACCTGGGTAGGGTGACCTTGGTGACAAAATATCAATGAAGTTGGCTTTTGTCATTTCCTCATCTTTTGTGTCCAAATCCCAATCCACTATGGTCTCCTTTTGGGAGGAAGTGTTGCTGTGCAAACCTTCCCTATTTTACTGGCTAGAGTGTCACCTGACATCTTAGACAAATTAGACCACAGTCCTGCGTTCTCAGCAGGTGCATGGAAGGTTGGTGAGTCCTGTTCAGTGCAGAACAGAGTGTGTGGGGGTCCTTGTGGCTAGGAATGGCCGTGTGGCCTTCTGAGGGTCTGAAGTGAGACTGGAGGAAGTCAGTGGAACCAGGACTTTCTCTGATGCTCCCCCGCCCCCCCCAGGCTCTTCCAGGTGAAGATGGAGCGGGAACAGCACCAGACGGAGATTCGGGACCTGCAGGAACAGCTGTCAGAAATGCACGATGAGCTGGACAGTGCTAAGCAGTCCGAGGACAGGGAGAAAGCGGCTCTGATTGAGGTAGGGGGCTGTGGGTCAGGCAACAGCTCCACCTGCCTGGGGAGGATGGGCTGGGGGGACAGGGTGCTATGAGCCGTTTTCTGTTGTGTGCATTTTATCCACCTGCATGTATGGTTCGATTCTGGGAGAGCATCACATGCTGCCATTTTTTAAAACATTGCCTTAGGAAAAATTTCATCCATACAGAAAAGTGGAAGGAGAAACACATGAAGCACCCCCAGGTCTCCAGCACAGGCCCAGCGGCTGTCAGCATTTACTCCATGATTTTATCCGCTCAGCTACTCATCCTTTTGTTCTCATTTGTTTCCAGAACCACATACTGAGGGGACAGGAAACTTTGAATAAGGATTGGGTGTTAGAATTATTACATGTATTGTAGGAATCATTGACTTGTTAGGGATAATTGTAGCTATGTAAGAAAATTCCCTTTAAAGATGCATGCTGCACAATTTAGAAGTGAGGTGTGGTATTTCTTCTTTGCTCTCCCTCATCCTTCTGACTTCTTGGTGGTACTGGGATTTGAACTCAGGGGTTTGTGCTCAAGAGGCAGGCACTTACCACTTGAGCCACACCTCCAGCCCTTTTTGCTCTGGCTATTTTGAAGATAGGGTCTTGCTTTTTGCCCAGTCTGGCCTGAACTGTGATCCTCCTATTTACACTTCCCACTGTAGCTGGGGTGACAGGTGCATGTCACTGTGCCCAACTTCTTTTGGTTGAGATGGGGTCTCGCTAACTCTCTTGCCCTGCCTGGTCTGGAGCTGTGATCCTTGTGCTGTCAGCCTTCTACATAGCTGGGATGATAAGTGTGCAAACCCGTGTCCAGCTATTGGTTGAGATGGGGTCTTGTGAACTCCCTACCTGGACTGGCCTTGAACCCCGAGCCTCCTGACCACAGCCTTCCAGGTAGCTAGGATTATAGGTGTAAGCCATAAGTGCCCAGCTAAATTTTTATTTTTGAAGCCTTAAGTGCCCATAAGACTGTAAGCTCCATGAGGGCAGTGTTGACTCAGTACTGTATCTGCATTAGCTACCACAGTGCCTGGGAGGTTGAGCAGTCAGTCTATACGCATGGATGATTGATGGATCCATGATGAGCGAGTGAGCAAGTGAATCTGTTTGCTAGTATTCAGGCTGTCAGTCTGACTTCTGCCCATAAGAACTATAGAACATTTCACTTGTACGTCTAGGAACTGGTGAATATGGTTCACTCCTTCCTCTCTGCTGTGCATTTGTAGACTAATAACGGGTTTGCCATATTATCTCTTCCCTGAGTTACATTTGCAGCCTGCGGAGGTGTAAGACACACAAGTATGAAATGATTAAAAAGAAAGAGTGTCATTTTGAGCAGTGACATTTTTTGTTGGAAATAAGTATAATAGCAAGTCAGAAAAAAGAACTTTTACCTTCATATCCATTTTGATGGTTGATGTTTGCTATAATGGTATCATCACCTGCGTCTGGTATAGCTTTGAAACGTTTTATTTACTGCTTTAGAAACCACCCAAAAAATAAATGATACACAGTTAGAACAAAAGGTTCCTCCCAACAAAATAGGCCAAAAATTAAAGGTGCCTCTTCAGTATTTGCTTTTCTATTGCTTTCCTCATTAGGGATTAATGGTTTTCTTTGTCCCATTCTTGGGTTAAAAACTTTCTTGTCCTTAGGCCAAACACCAGTGGCTGACACCTGTAAGGCTAAATACTAGCTACTTGGGAAGTTGAGCTCAGAAGGACTGCGGTTCAAGGCCAGCCCCAACAAAGAGTTCATAATCCCGCCCCTCCCCCACCCCATATCTCCAACCCCAGCAGAAGTGGACTGGAGGTGTGGCTCGAGTGGTAGAATACTTCTTTGCAAGCACAAAGCCCTGAGTTCAAACCCCAGTCCCACCCAGTCCCCCCCCACCCCTCCCCATAAAATTCTGGCCCTTAACTTTCTGGAGTTCCTTTAAGTCTCATTTGTCAACTGTTTTGGCTCCCTTCCCTTGTTCAGTTGTGAAGTAATTCTTTGGGAGGATTTTTTTCTTGAGAAAAGGGTCTTGCTACATAGCCCAGGCTGGCTTTGAACTTGGTATCTTCCTGTCTTCTCTTCCAGAGTGTTAGGATTACAGAAGTGCACCACCGTGCCCTCCCCAGGAGGGATTTTAGTGTCTCTTCTGTAGACATTGGCCTCTCTCCCACCCGTGGTCAGGATAGGGGCTGAGAGAAGAGCCCTGTGACCATATAGCACGAGGTCTCACGAACTCGCTCTTCACACAGACAGGAGAGAATCATTTTCTCTTTCTCAGGACCATCTTCCACCTTTTCTCTGGAGAAGGCCCTAGCCCTATTTCTTACCACCTTTCTTGGAGGGGAGAGGGCTGGGATTTGCACTAGGGACCTTGTGCTTGCTAGGTCAGCATTGTGCCACTTGAGCCATGCCCCCAGCCCTCTTTACCACCTTTTCATCAGGTGGCTTGTTAACTACCCACCACACTGGCGATAATGTACCCTCACTGCTCCGTCTTCTTTATGTCTCAGAGTTATAAGACTAGGTACATTAGAATAGGGTTTTGAACATGCATGTGTTTATCACCAAAAATTATCAAAACAATATAAAATGAAACTTAACAAAAGGGAAACACATACTTTCCTAATACCGAGGGAATTATTTCTATTTCTACTTTTTCTGTTTTTCCCTATCCATTCAGCCATTTATATATAATAAGGGACAATCATGGTGTCCCTACAGTTTTGATAATGTAAAAGTTCATATGCTTTTAAAAGTTAATACGAGCTGAGTGCTGGTGGCTCGCACCTGTAATCCTAGCTACTCAGGAGGCAGAGATCAGGAGGATCACAGTTCAAAGCCAGACTGGGCAAATAGTTTGTGAGACCCTATCTTGAAAAAGTCATCATGAAAAAAGAGCTGATGGAGTGGCTCAAGGTGCAGGCCCTGAGTTCAAGCCCCAGTACTGCAAATAAAATAAATAAAACAAAATAAAATAAAATAAAATAAAGAAAAAGGTTAAACTATCAGACACTATAGGGCTTTTAAAATTTATTTATTTTTGGCTGTACTGGGGTTTGAACTAGGGCCTTGTGCTTGCTAGGCAGGCGCTCTAACCACTTGAGCTAGTCCTCCAGCTCTTCCTATTAGTTTCTTAAAGAGCTAGCTTAATTATTTTGTTATCAAGTCATTTCTTTCTCTCTCTCTTTTTTTTTTTTTGCAATTATGCACAAAATCTGTAGTGAGCATTTTTTACACATATCCTTTTACTACTTAAAAAATTTTCCTAAGGATAAGAGTCCAGAAATGAAGTCACTGAAGAGTTGATGGCTTTCATAAAAGCGTAGTCGCTTCACCAGTGACTTGTTAGAGTCTATGATTCCTGATGGGCTCTAGGAAGAAAGACACTCCCTTCGCTCTGAGAGGCCTCCCGAGTTACTAATCTCCCCTTGTAACCCCAGCCTATAGTTCTTGCTGGCATTTCCTTGCCTTCTTCCCTTTTTGAGCCTCTATTTTAGCATCCTTGACAACATTGCTGTCTTGCTCTTTCTTTTCTTTTTGTTTTTTCTTTATGGCGGTACTTGGGTTTGAACTCAGGGCTTTGAATTTTCAAGGCAGGTGCTCTACTACCTGAGGCATGTCTACATTTCCCCCCCTTCTTTTGGTACTGGGGTTTGAACTCAGGGCCTCTCAGTCTTGCTAGGCAGACGATCTACCACTTGAACCACTTTGCCAGCCCTGGTTTTTTTTGTGTGTGTGTGTTGGGTATTTTCCAGATCGGGCCTCCTGAATTATTTGTCTGAGCTGGCTTTGAACTGTGATCTTCAGCCTTCCAGGTAGCTTGGATTACAGGCGTGAGCCCATGGTGCCTGGCTACATTGCTCTATTTTGGTCTGTCTTTGCCAGCTCATTCAAGGGTATATCATCTTTGTTTCTTCCCACATTTCATGCCTACCACAGTTCTAAATATCAGAGGAAATTAATAATTTTTCAGTAAAGTACTTTTCAAAGTCACCGTTTTTTATAAAAGGGACTAATTCTAAAGTGAACTGCATACTTTCTTTAATAATTTTAATACAATATACTGAGCATTTATTACTTGAGCATAATTTAATGAATCAGTTTGTTGTTTTATTTATATTGCTATATAAGGATTGAGCCTCAGTTTTGGTGGCGTGTCTTTAGGCTGAGGTTGAAAGAGCGACACAAGCATATCTCTTTTCTTTTTTTCCTCTCTCTTTTTTTCTTTTTTTTGAGATAGGCGGTATAGCCCCAGGCTGGCCTTGAACCCACAATCCTCTTGCTTCAGCCTCCTAAGTGCTGGGATTACAGGTGTGCACCACCATACCTGACTTGGAACCTTTCTTAAACATGTTCGTAGAGTTGCCAGTTTCTGGTTGTTTGCCCCTCTCTTCAGGAAGAGTGAGGTTCTCTCTTGGGGCGGAGATAGCTTCTCTAGGCCAAGGGAGGTTTGTTTTCCCTCACCAGAACATCATCTTCGCTGCTTTTATCTTTTTACTTTTGACTTTTCAGCAACATTTCAAACACTACCTGTGGATTCTACAGAAGTAATAAAGTATATCCCATTTTCTTGGCACTTTCAATTTATTCTTCATATAGTAATAAAAAATGGCCTCACAGAATTTGATCACAGATTATAGCCGTGACCAAGTTTGTCATGGCTTTTAGCTTGGAATAGACCCTAAACATAATGAATGGGCACTAAACCATTAAGCTTTTGAATTCTGAAAAAGATTGAAAAGTCTATTTTGTGTGGCCTGCATAATGGCCCAGATTTTTAAGTAAAGCCTTTCTACTTTGGTACTGGGAGTTGAAGCCAGGGCTTTGTGCATGTTAAACACACCCTCTACCACTGAGTTACACCTCTAGCCCAGAAATATTCCATAGTTTGTTAAGTAACATTGGAACTCTATATAGAACTCTATATATTTCTGAATAAAATAACATTCAGAAAGAATAAAATAGTTTTTCTAAAGGAAGAAAAAGTAGAAAATATTTTGTTTTCTTAAGATATATAGTTGACTGGTGACATTACAAATTTGTTCTCAGTCAGTGGTTCTGCAAATTATTTTTTAACCCAAATTAGGAAAATGATCCTAGAACAAACCTTTGGCCGCTTCTTTGTCCGTCAAGGTATTACCTTCCAGTCTGGGGTGCCAGGTCAACACGCAACACCTGTGTAAGAGCCACCAAGGTGGGGTTTTCTAATGATCAAATGTCTTTCTTTGATGGAGGCTGCAGTGTTCGGAGATGGGTCCCACTCCAGCAGAGTCCTGTGGTGTCTCACTCCTGGCAGTTGCCAACACACTGGTGTTTCAGTATCACTAAAATATTCTGGTTGTGAAATTTCACCCATGTGGTGATAGTGCTCAGAAATGAGGTCTCTAAAATAAATTTCTTTTGGTTTGATTTACTGAACAGTCTATAACTCTTGATTAAAAGAGCAGCTGAGTATAAATATAATGGTTCTTACCAGTTGAGTTCCATGGTCTAGAACATCTTTCTGGAGCAAAAAATTGCTGGATTCTCTATCAGCTACCATTGAGATACAAAACCTTGCTGGATGTGGTGGCTCATTCCTGTAATTCCAGCTTGGGAGGCTGAGATTGGAAGGGAAAAAGTTAGTGAGACCACCATCTCAATCAATAAGCCTGTCATTCCAGCTATGCAGGAAACTGGAGGCTAGAGGAGCATGGTCTAGGGTGACCCGGGCAAAAAAGGGACACCTTACTTGAAAAAAAACTAAAGCTGAAAAGGGCTGGGGGTGTAGCTCAAGTGGTAGAGTGTCTGCCTAGCAAGTGTAGGGTGCTGAGTTCAAACCACAATACTGCCAAAAACAAGACAAAACCCAAGGTTTTTTATAATTTACCCCTTCGATAAGCGTGGACAGGGACCCTATAGAATTTCTGGGAAGGCGTTCTGCAGAGGCGGGTCTAGCCCAGCGCTTTCTTCATTTTGATACAGAGAACTGTGAGCAGGTAACATGTGAGGTGAGGCCCTCTGTGGGCCACTAAGTCACTGCCCCAGACATTCTGGTGCCTGTCTCTGAGTGACCTGCTGTTGGGGCAGCCACTGGCTTCCAGCCCATACTTCTTTACCTCTCACCTTTCCTGTTTGTCTTTTCAGGTTCTGGTCATGCTTTCTTGATTTAGTTTTAGAAGATGAACAGCTTTGCTGGCATTTCCAGCCCTATAGTGCTCTGTTCTCTTTGCATGGAGCCCTTGTTTGGTGGTTTTTCTTGGCCACATGGTAAAGAGAAAGGGTGGTGGTGTCCCATCCAGGCCCCTGTCCTGGCTCTGCTGCTTATAACCTGTGTGACCTTAGGAGGTGTGCTAGCATGTCAGGGTCCAGCTTCTTTGGTTTGAATGAGAGAAATGTTTATGTTCTTGAATATTCATTTCTTTGGAGTTCAAGAAACGCTTAGCACACTTACTACTATGCAGTGCTACTATGCAGTGAGAGCTGAACGCAGTCAGCTTTTTTAGGTCTTCCCTCTCCCTGCAAAAATATATACACGTTAGCATTTCATCTCCTGGCATCTGTGGAACTATTCTGGAAGTGTTAAGGCTTGGAAAGGGCTGGCTAACTAGCCAAAGTTTTCCCTCGTTTTCTTTGATTGGAGTCCGCTAAGTGGCACGGTCCTCTCTGAATGGGTGTTTACTTACATTTCACAGTTATATATTTCTCTCTCTTCTTTGATATAATTAAGCCCTGAGGCAATGAAGTGAAGTTTTTAAAAGCTTCTGTGCCTTTTTTGGTCTTCACTCTGGAAAACTTCAAGTGCTACTACGTGACATGGCAAGGTGTAATCTGATCGGATTTGTACAGCACAGTTCACTTAAGCAACAGTCCCAACCCCAGATAACAGAGTGCTGGTGCAGAATGGACTGTAAAAACCTCAGTTCTTGATACGCATTGGTGGCAGTACACAAACGACTGCACAAAACACAGATATACCCTGGAAGAGATAAGTGTGGGAAGAGGAACTGCCTTATCCTCCAAACAATTGAGAAGTGTGTGAGAGAAAGGCAGGAAACAGGAGTCACAATCACAAGGGCTGCTCTGAAGATGCTGGCCGGAGGCCCCAGGAAGCCTTAATGCGGTTGCCAATGACAACAGTGATTGGGGGAGGCTCTGCGCCTCCTGACGAGCAGCAGGACAGTGAATTTTCTACCCTAGATAGGTCTCTTGACTTTGCATCTGAGTTGATCCATGCCTACTGGTCAAGATCCTGGAAGGGCTAAGGCTTGGTCTATGTCATATGATCCATTCTGAATTGCCCTGGTGCAGCAGATGAGTGTGTCCTGGAGTGAAGCAAAGATGTCATTGTCAGTTGCATTTCAGTTGATTTAAATGTTTGTATTCCTTAGCCCTGACACACTTCTTAAAAGGAAAGTAGCTTATCTCAGAGGCCTTGGGTCCCCCATGGCAGTTATTGCTCTGACTTCTCAAGAGCTCCCAAGACAGCAGGAGATTTGTAGTGAGAAGGGTTTAGAATTCTGACATGTCAGACTCTTGCTGTACTGGCCACGTTAACTTATTTATGCCCTGAACGTCTTTGCATCAAAAAATCAAATCTATAGCCTTCTTTCAATAAGTGGGCAGTCTGGGAGGGAAGATACGAAATATGTTCACAACACATAGAATGTAAGGTAAAAAGTATGAGGGAAATTCCAGGAAGACTTCTTGGAGGAGGTCATATTGTGTCTGGGCTTTCAGTGATTTTCTGAAAGGCAGAGAGGTGGGACTGAAGGGCACCCCAGAGAGGCTGCCCTGGGAATGTTGTCATGGAGACCATAAGTGAGAGACTGACATGGGGACAGGACAGTGACAATTGCAAACCACTTGCATAGAGGTGCCGAGGGCCTAACCTGGAGAGGGGAGTGGAGGGGAAGGATCTAAGATTTCACAGAACTGACTTTTTGGTTGGGAGGGACAAGGATGAGCAAGAAATCAGCTTGGCTGCCAAGTTTCTGAGTGTGGTGCTGAGGACGAGGGGCACCACTCACAAAACTAATGAGAACGGAAGAGGAATGGGATGGTCTCACTTAAAACTTTAGCCCTACTGCGTCTGAGGTGCCCACAAAACGTGCAGAGGAAGAGGGGGCAGGTCGCTGGATGCGTTAGTGTGAATGAACTCAGAAGGCTGGAGGTTAAAGGAAAGGGAGTCATTTTTTTGTAGAATTAGTAGTTGAAAAAAGTTGAAAGCTTTGCCAAAGAAGAGCGAAGAATGCAAAGTTGCATTGGGGTTGATCTTAGCTTTTGGAAAGAGGGAGAGAGAAGCCAACAAAGATCTTCATGGAGGACGTGGCCTGAGGGATGGGCCCAAGGGACTGTGCTGTCTTTGGACTGAGGGGAAGAGGAGAATCTTAAGGAACTTGGCAGGGAGCATGGAACAGGGGTCAAGAAAACTGGAGCTTAGGCTTGCTGTGGTGGCTCACGCCTGTAATCCTAGCTACTAGGGAGGCAGAGATCAGGAGGATTGCAGTTGAAGGCCAGTCCAGGCAGATAGTTTGCAAGACCCCATCTCAGCATGCCTGTCATTCCAACTATGTGGGGAGGCACAAATAGGATTATGGGTCAGGCTGCCCTGGGCATAAAGGGAGACCCTATTTCAAAAATAACCAAAGCAAAAGGGCTGGGGACATCGTTCAAGTAGTAAAGCACCTGCCTAGCAAGCACGACACCCCAGTACTGTCAAGAAAAAAAAGAGACCCCATCTCAATCAGTAAAAAACTAGGTGTGGTGGTGTGCGCCTCTTATCCCAGCTATATGCGAAGCATAAATAGGATCACTCTCCTAGGCAAAAAGTAAGATTCGATTCCTAAAATAACTAAAGCAAAAGGGGCTGGGTATGGTCAAGTAGTAGAGTGCCCACCTAACAGTTACAAGGTCCTGAGTCCAAGACTCTATAATGCTAAAAAAAAAGCAAACCAACCAACCTCCCCAAAACCAAAAACCCAAACTGAGGACTAGGGAAAGGCCATTGGGTGTGGTGATTTGGAGATCCTGAAGACCTTGTCTTAGTGGCACAGGCACAGCAGTCACATTGCAGGAGAGTCACAGATGGTCATGAAGTAGAGGCAGTGAATAGAAGTCCTGCTTTTGCAAAGCCTGGAGGTAGCCAAGGTTCAAGGAAAGAGCAAAACACAAATGGTGCAGAAAAAAGAAGTGATAAAGACCTGGAGCAGGCTGGCAGGGGACAGTCTGCGAAGTGGCTATGGGTGGGGAGAAGGTCCCAGGGTGCAGAGAGGAGCCTAGGAGGGGTGCCGGGGCTTTCGTGTGAGGAGTAAGGGGCCACCCTGAGCTGGAGGAGCACTGGGTGTCTGGGACAAAGATGCTGAGTAAAAGGAAGCTTTTGGCATGACACACCAGGGTTTAGGTAATGTGGTTGTCAGTAGGTCTTGTCACCCCAGTTTTGTGATTTTTCTCATGAACTTGGTAACGAATGAGGAGAAAATGTGAATGCTGTGCTTTGCTCAGATGGACAGGTAGGACAGGAAAGTCATCTGGGTACCAGGATTGTGGACAAGGGGTTTGACCACACACAGGGGCCATAGGCCCTGAAGTGGGCGAGACCAGGGAGTCATGGCTCCCAGGCAGAGCAGTACACAGGTGCCATTGCCAGGATGGCAGACCATTGCATAGAAACGAAATAAGAGACAAAACCAGACCTGTCCCCAAAGTAATGACACTTTCCCTCTTCTCCCTCACATTAAAACTCAAAGAAGCCCATCCAGGGGAGTGGTGACCTCTGAGGGGTGCAGAGGGAGAGGCAGAGATGGTCTAAGCAGGTGTGTGCTAGGGGGAAGGAGATCGCGGGTAGGGCAGGTGAGGTGGCTGAACAGGGAGGGAGATGCAGGGCCACTCGCAAAGATGTCTCCTCCTCACCTCCCTGTCCATGCTGCCTCTCTTCAGGAGCTCCTCCAGGCCAAACAGGACCTTCAGGACCTGCTGATCGCCAAGGAAGAGCAGGAAGACCTTCTGAGAAAGAGGGAGAGGGAGCTCACCGCCCTGAAGGGGGCCCTGAAGGACGAGGTTGCCAGCCATGACCAGGAGATGGACAAGCTGAAGGAGCAGTACGACGCCGAGCTGCAGGCCCTTAGGGAGAGTGTGGAGGAGGCCACCAAGGTGAGTCCGCCATTCCAGTCCTGCAGACCATGGGGGATGTCGGGATGGACAAGAGAATCTGGCTTGGGAACAAACAACACTCACCTCTCCCAATCCTGATGCCAGCTGCTGTCTTTCCTTTTAATTGCAGAGTGAAACTCAGTTTCACCAGCTTGTGGAGATAGAGTTTGTTGAGAAAGAAGAAGCCTAATGGTTTTGCTGGTGACCTTTTGAAGTGTACAAATTTAGCCATCAGTAAGGACATTGGTTAGATGCTATCACAGGGGTAAGAGTTTGAGGCTCTGACTGAGCTCTTGAGTAGAGAGCCATACTAAGGGGGTCCTGGGGTCAGAGGACTAGGGCACCAGGTAACTCTGCTCATGGGCAGAGCTGCAGACACCACCCAGATTTTTGGAAACTTTCGCCCCTGCCTGGCCTGTGCAGCCTTTTGTTAGACCATTCAAGCTCTGTTTCTCAGTAGAGTTGTAAGAGGTTAATTGACTGAATTGACCAAACCCTTCTAAGATGATTTTTCTCTTAGTTGAATTCTAGGCTCCTCCAAATAGGTCCTAAATCATGTCAAAGTCTTATGGTGCAGGCCTCAAGGTGGCTGTTGAAGAAGAGAAACACAGGATTGGAGGGAAAATACTTTGAAATGCCATCTTTAGGGAAGGAGGGGAATTACAGAGTGCAAATTTTTCAGAGTCTCTCTAACATAAAGGTTAAAAATGCGAAACAAAAAACTCTTGAAAAACAAGAATAAACTTCTGTTAGTTCTTTAAAGAATGCAGGGGCAGCTCAGTGAGCAGGCCTCCCTCCTCTCTGCTAAGTCCCATGGCGATTCACTGATTTTTCAATTATGTCCCTGTAATTGCAAATGACAAGAAGTGAAAGACGGGTTTGTTTGTTACAACAGTAGAAAGGGTGGGAAACGGTCTGTGTGGGGTTGTTATAACTTTGGGATAGCTTTAAAAGCTTCTTGTTGCTTTGCCTTTTTTAGCATTTTTTTTCCCTTGAGATTTGATTTAATTTGAGGGGAGAGAAGCAAAGCTGATTCAATTGTCATTGTGTTGAGGGGGACATGTCTGTGTCTTCTGCCCCTCATTTCATTTCTGTGCAACAGCCTGGTGTCCTTGCCATTAACCTTCATGTGCTCTTGCCGTCAGGCTTGTGAGCCAGTTCTCCTTTGGACATGTCATTTGTTTGTCACCCTTAGCTGTCCCCCCCCAGTCAAAGCTCGAGTTAACATGGGACATTCTGGGTGGCCCACTGAAGGGTGGCTGGAGCAGTGTGGGGGTGTGTGTCTGGAGTCATTCGACTGTAAGAATCAAGCCAGTCCCACATGTGGGATGGATGATTCCTGATTAGAAGCGTCTGAGTCTCCTACTGTCCCCAGTATGTAAGCAGGAAAGAAACCGGTTGGTGGAAGACCCTGTGTTGTATGGAGTTGAGGTCACCGCCTCAACTTAGGCGTAGGTTACGTTTTGGCCTTTTCGCAGTTTGGCACTCCGTGGCAGTCCATAGTGCTTTTGTCCTGCCAGTTCAAGACAGATAACTACGGGACTCCGTCAGTCTGTGAAAGAAACGAAAGGTGGTTAGTTAGGATGTGTGCCATTAGCAGAGAATGTGGGGTGTCCGAGCACTAGGAGGCTAATAAAAAGGGGTTTCCCTGTGCTGAGCGTGTGCCAGCATGGGCTCTTTGCCCCAGGTCATCTCCCACACTGCCACCAGTGCCTTTCCCTAAATACACAGTCAGGTGAGGTCAGGCTCTGCTTAAATGACTCGCTTGGCTCCTCATTGTCCCAGACTTAAATTCAAACTCATCACCATAGTCAGCCTTCCCAACCCCATCTCTAGAAAGTTCTACATTCTTTTAGCTCTCTTGCTTTAGACATGTGGAGTGAGCAGCTCCCACTTGCCACCTGAACAACCTCTATTCATCCTTCAGAACCCTCCCCAGATATCCCTACCCCCATGAATACACCCTAGACACTGCCATGCTCTCAGTGTAATTAGTGGCGCCTTCCTTCGGGTTTCTGTTGTACCCTGACTTCTCCAGGGTTTTATGGTTCCTTGTAATGCAGCCTCACTTCTGCCTCCTCCAGTAGACTCAGCTTCTTAAGCACAGGGGTGTTTTATCCCTTGTCTTGTTTTACAGCCGGAGTGACAGTCAAGTGCTTTGGGGGCTAGACAGGAAGCATAAACGAGTGACGCCCTGAGAAGAGTGTTGGGTGACAGTAGGGCACGGTATGGACCGTGGCAAGTAGGGGTCAGTTGCTTTTCTGTTGTAACTGAACATTGCCCATGAAGAATGCTGAGCCCAGATTTCTGGATCTTTCAATGGCTTCCTTCCCTCCTTCCCTCCCTTCCTCTCTCCCTTCCTTCCCTCCCTTCCTCTCTCCCTTCCTTCCCTCCCCTCCCTTCCTTCCTTCCCCTTCCTTCCTTCCCTGCTCTCCCTTCCCTCCCCCTCTCTCTGTGTTGCCCAGGCTGGCCTCAAACTTGCAATCCTCCTACCGCTGCTTCTCTAATGAATGCTGGGATTACAGGTATTTACCACCTTGCCCCAGTCTTTCTTCAATTTAAGACAAGCCAGATATCCAGATGGCCAAATAAGATCTCCTGCCTTTTAAGTGTGGCTTCAATTTAAAAAAACAAAATCCCATAGACTAAACCTAACCCACCTGCAGGCCAACTGTCTGTGATCCCAAGCCCATGAGCTCAGCACAGTGCTGGGTACACAGTCACATCTGTGCAACGTCTCAGGAGGGCAAATGCCCTCCAAACTGGGGTCCCAGTCCCTGCTGAGGTATCTGTTGGATTTCTCGTAGAGATGCAGGAGGTCTTTGAAAGAATTCTATTACCCCCTGAATTTCTGTGCCTTGCTTGCGAGTTTCCTTGCAGGTTTTTTGGGGGTATGTGTAGTACTGGGGTTTGAACTCAGGGCTTGTGCTTGCTAGGCAGGCGCTCTACCACTTGAGCCACACCTCCAGCCCTTTTTGCTTTAGTTATTTTTCAGATAGGGTCTTATACTTTTTGCTTGGAGCTGGCCTTGTAGCTGGGATTACAAGTGTGAACCACCACGCCCCACCTCCATTTGATTTCTTGAGAGGATGATGATTGTATTTTGTGCTTCTAAAGATGGCTGCTGAGCAAATATGTCAGAATCATATTTTATGAAGAAAATGTCAGTTTAGTAGACAGATACTAACCTTTTAAAGATATTTATATGATAGCATTACAGAATCGAATTTTGATAGCATTAAATATTTGAGGACAGGGAATTAGATGTTTAATCTGGTAAAGGGTCAAACTTGTTCACTGGCACTGAACTTTATCTTTCCTTAGAGGAAGGACTGGTCCACCGCTGTGACTAAAAGCTGACATTTCTTTAAGGGATCAAATTGCATGAAACTGTTCCTTTCTGTGGAGGTCTTTGGAGGCAACCACGCCTCTCACCAACCTTTCTTTCCTCTGCCTCTGCCTTCAGCCAAAACCCTCTAAAGTGCTATTTTATTATCATCCAATAGCAAGCACCAAATCCTGGCCTGAGCTTGGGCACTGAAGTTTTACGTTACTGGAACATTTGGTGGAAACTGTAAATTAAAAACATTTTAATAGTCTCCCAAACAGATACTCTATAATAGTTTTTTTGTTTTTTGTTCTTTGGAGTCTCAAAGAGCCACACTTTTTAAAGGATAGATGGGTTGGCTCAGCTGACAAGAATTCCCAAATGCCTTGGTTGGGTGGTTCTTCCTAGCTTAGCAGAGTGAACTGGATTCACCAGCAGAGCAGTGGTGATTTGGGTTATTATACTTTTTCGGTGGTACTGGGATTTGAACTCAGGGCCTTGTGCTTTGTAGGCCAGTGTTTTACCACTTGAGCCATGTCCCTAGCCCTTTTTGCTTTAGTTATTGTTCAGATTGGGTCTTGTCTCGAGGTTTTTGCATGGGGCTGGCCTCATGTGCTCCTCCCTCCTGTGCTTCCCATGTGGATTATACATGTACCACCATGCTTGGCTTGTTTGTTAAGATGGGACCTTGATAAGTTTTTTCCCAGGATGGCCTTGAACTACAATCCTCCCAATCTTTGCCTTGAGTATCTGAGATTACAGGTGTGAGCCACTACATCCAGCCTGGGGTTTGGGTTATTATGTGAATTATTCCATTTCCATTCTTGGAGAGAAATAGGTCTTCATTTTCTGTTAGCAAACAGATTCTGCCTAACAAATATTTTTTTAAAGAGCAGTTTACTACTTGGGTGCTTTTTTTTCCTAGTGTGCTTCTTTCTTTGTTATGTGCCCATTATGCTTTTTCTAGTTTTGAAAGGAAGTGTTTTCTTTCTCCTTGGGTGTATGTCACCGGCTGAACCTAGTTGAGCAATTGGATGACCGGGGTGGGGGAGGGGGAGGACATGAATGACTGCCATCCAGGAGCGAAATGATGACTGCCACCGCTGCTGGCATTGGCTTTACTTTCTCACCCCCAACTCTTCTCTATCTCTTGTGCAAAAGAGAAGCACAGATGGTATATGTTCTTTTTTATTAATGTGTGTTTTACTCAAGTTTATATTATATCTTGACCAGACTAACCCCTTGTCTTGCTTGCTTTTTCATCATTCCTCTTCCTCTTTTTAAGTTTTTTTTTCTGGTTTCTTTATGCCATCTTCCTATGCAGGTATAATGGATTTCAATATTACACTCTCTCCAGACAGTGTAGGTTAAGATTTCTTCTTTTTTTTTCTAGGTGTACTGGGATTTGAACACAGGGCTTTATGATTTCTAGACAGGTTCTCCACCACTTGAGCCACACTTCCAGACTTTTTTGCTCTGGTTGTTTGGAGATAGGTTCTCAGTTTTTGCCCAGGCCAGCCTGGTCTGCAATTCTTCTATTGTAGGCTTTCTGTCATTGCTGGGATGACAGGTATGTGCCACCACACCCAGATCTTTTTCTGTTGAGATGGGGTCTTGAGAACTTTTTTGCCTGGATTGGGCCTGGAACCACGATCTTCCTGATCTTGTCCTC